CACATACGGCCATAGATTCAAGAAATTTAGCCATCCCGTTCGATCTGGCCTATACAAGCTTGAAATCGGCGGATTAGTAGTCAGGTGGGTGACCACTGGCGAATCCCCGCTGTCGTATGTTTTTGAAAAACTTTTTCATTTTTATGATTTTTTGCTTAAACACGTGATACATCTTGGCATCCGGAAAGTAGTTTTTCCAGATCGTAGTATTATGCCCCACTATACCCAACCAGTGCTCACTATTCCCACATCACCGAATGCGGCCCACGGTTCCTAGTGCATCCGGACCGTTTTTGGACAGATGCAGCTGGATTCGTAACGAACGAGAGCAGTAAGCCTACAGCTACCAATACCACTACTGCTGCTAATACTACCTAGTACTCCAATTCCACTAGCTACCTCATGAATAGTCTCGTGTTGTACTCACTCGCCGTCACCAAACAGCATGTGCATAGTAATCATTTAGCTACAGCCATCAATAACCAGAAATCCAACTATTCGCACAACAGAACATTTGGTGGCAGAATTTTTCTTTAATACAGTCTACATGGATTTTTCGCTCTTCAACATCTACGTATAGATCTAACAATTCCTCGAACATCCAAAGGGAAACGGCAAGACTGCAGGAGACTTGTATCCCCCCTCAGCTACACTCCTCACTCCAAAAATCACATTATCCTTGTGAATGGTAGCAGAGGTAAGATTGTACCAGGTTACATTGCCAACATCAATGACATTCGTCCAATGCGCCTCGTTTGTCTCACGGTATAGGATTTCGTATCCTTGAACAGGCAGACCTTCAGGTGCAGTCCACCTGAACTGACTAAAGTTGTCAGACGAAGTGGTATTAATACCGACGTTTGTTGGTACACCGGGTGCGTTTGCAAGACTCCACATAGTGCTTGCGACAACCTTTGCGGCGCGAGTGTTGTACTCAAAGTCCAGCCACTCGACCAAGTCGCCGTACTGTTTGCCGTTGCGTACAGTGACATTCTGGTGCTGTTGAGTGTAGTCTTCGTTCGGCTGCACAAAGCGTACGCCTGTGTACCCGGCTTCGAGAAAAGGGCGATGGTCGCCTCCGCGACTGTATCGATCCAGACGATAAATGAGACGCACAGTCATTTCGGTCCAAGAATTGGAAGCGACTTCGTAAATATGTCGACCGAGGTTACGCGCCGGGCTATCGTTCTCACCGCCAATGCTAAGACGCGACCTAGTCCGTGTAGCATTCTCCGTCAAGGGCGTGCCTTCGCAAAAGAGACGAATATTGTAAGGATCGACAGTGCCATCCTCGGCTTTGGAGTTGCCTACCATGTCAAGGTTAATCATGCCGGCTACATTGACAGAAGCATTCTTGTAGGTCTGTGCCAGATTTTCCGCGCCGAGGAGGCCTTGCTCCTCGCCTGCAAAGGCAGTGAACACAATGGTCGACCTGGGCTTGTAGTGCGCAAAGATGCGGGCGAGCTCTAGGGAAACGGCAACCCCGGATGCATCGTCGACCGCACCTGGAGCATCTCCCTGGTAGTCGATCGGGTCGCTATTGCGGGAGTCGTAATGTCCACCAGTGACATATAACCGGTCTGGGTCCTCGCTTCCCTTTAGTGTCGCAACCACCGTGGTAATGTTGACTGGAAAGATGATTCGCTCATTGTCCCCAGGGTACTTGATGAAGCTATTCCAGTCGACAGTCATCCTCCCCTCACTTGCATCAGCTGCTTCTTGAAATCGTGCTGTCAGCCATGTCCTCGCTGCGCCTATGCCTCGGTTCGGATCAGTCTGACTCGACAGAGTATGGCGTGTGCCAAACGAAGCAAGCTTCCGAATGGTGGCTTCAATGTTGTCCCGGGATATCTGCGAGAGAATGTCCTGGAGCTCCTCGCCGGGCAACTGCTGCTCTAGCGGCTTTCCCACGACTGGCGCTGGCCATTGCTCGGTGCTGGGGAATTGATGAGGATGGCGGGGGTGGATTGGTGTGGAGACGGCGCCTTGGAAGAGGGTTACCGCATAAACGGCGAGAACCGAGGCCGACCACATGGTGAAGGACGGAAATTACACTGGCAAAGTCTACCAAGCCCATCCGTTCTCCATGTTGATTGATTTATATATCGTCAATGTCGCCATTCCACTCTCCACAAGAGCCATTCGCCTCCGGTATCGCCATTTTTTCACGTCACTGAACAAGATATCGCAATCGAAGAGACGCGTATTTAGCTTTGGCAGCGGGGGACGATGTAGATCTGTGTTGTATGGGGAAGCTCGTAATGCTACCAAGGCGCCAAATGGGGACCGGGGTTAACGTCGGCAATCGATTGTAGCCTTGCTGGAGTTTTTGCTTGGCAACGGCAGCCATCAGATACGGCTGTTTCCGTCAACTGCCGAAGAAGTACCATTGGAACTGACAACAGGTAGGCTCGAGCTTGCAAGACGGTTAGACATCGAGTCGTGCAGCAGAAAGATCTCGCCGATGGCTGTAGAGGCAATTTGATTATGTTCGGTAATAAGGACTGTTACTTGCATGCTTACTTGAAACCGTGCATAGAGTACATGTGTGTCTAGCATGAAGCGTGGCTCACACAAGGCTGGGTGATTGGATCTACAGTCTTCACACGCACACCAGGCCTGCGACTCTAACCAGAAGCAAATAGGAAGGTAGTGTCAGCCCTTGGCATGACGTCAGGCGCCTAACAGGTACACAACACACACACAACTCTACACAATTCTGCACAACCTTACGCTCCAAGCACTTGTCAAGTCAACATGTCGTTTACCCAGCGAGAGAATTCCTTGGTTTTATGATGTTACTTAACTGATACGAGGAAAGAACAAGATACAGCACAGCCCTCACAATTCACTCGCTATTTGATAATGGCCATGGCCGCGGCCCCCATACGCATGACTTGTTCCCATCTCGGCCCGACCAATGACACAGTAACCCAATTTCCACATTGCGCACCACTAGTTCACACTCACTCAATTGGTTTCCTATTTGTTTAGGCAGTGCCCTCCATAACCACGTGTGCGGTTCCTGGGGCTTGCTAACGCGAACAAGAAGGTCGGGCGTACAGCATCACTGGATCCTTAAGCAGATCCCAGAAGCAGGAACCCACAAGAAAGGCCCGGCGCGCCATCCTGCACATCAATATACACAACGGAGATCAGACGGACAACCACTGGTCAACGTGAAGTGTGCTCCTCTACCCATTGGACGCCGAGCCGGTTGTTGACCAGGGGGGCAGTGTGCATCAACGGACATGAACACTGGAATAGTAGTTCAAAAAGAGGAGTTAAGATTCGATGACAATGGATTTTGACGCATGTGGAAAGAGGCTGGGTAGTTGTAATCGATCGTATACGGCCACGATGGGGCACCTGCCATGGCAGACGAGTCAGCCACCAGGTACAAAAGGCGACATGTGGTAGCAGTTAATTTCGAATCACCGCAGCACATCAACTCTTCTTCTCAGCTACAAAATACATTTCATTCGCTTTTACTTTCTATTCTTATACCCAATATCATTCATCATGAAGACCTGCGCTCCCTCTCTCCTCGCTCTCGCGGCACTAGCCTCGACTACGCTCGCCGCTCCAACACCCGCCCAGGACTACAGCTTCCCCATTACCGACATCATTGACACCGGTCTCACTGTTGACGAGTACGCTGCAAAGCTCGTCAATGAGGGCGTCGAGGCTCGCGATCTTGCCAAGCGTCAATACAACAGTGACACCTACAACCAACTGACCGATGGTACCGCTTGCCGCCCAATCTCCCTTATCTGGGCCCGTGGTACCAGCTCCCCCGGAAACGTTGGTGCTGCCGGAACCGAAGGCCCCGTCTTCTTCAACGCCGTTGCCGCCCGTGTAGGAGGAACCGGCCAATTGGCTATCCAGGGTGTCAACTACGCCGCCAACGTTATCGGCTTCTTGGCCGGAGGTGATGCCGCGGGCGCTACTTCCATGTTCAACTTGATCAACCAGGTAAGTTTGCCATTATACTACTGATATATCATACCTCGTCACTCACACTTTCTTACAGACCGCATCCCGCTGCCCCAACACCAAGATTGTCGTCTCAGGCTACTCTCAGGGCGCCCAGCTCGTCCACACCGCTACCCAGCGTCTCACTGCCGCCCAGGCTGCACGCGTCTCCGCCGTTGTAACATTCGGTGATGCAGACCGCGACGAGTCGTTTGGCGTTCTTCCCGCCTCCAAGACTCTTATCATCTGCCACGAGGGCGACAACATCTGTGATAACGGTATCATTATCACTCCCCAGCACGGCAACTATGAGCAGGATGCTCCTCAGGCCGCTGATTTTGTTGCTGCTCGTGTTTTGTAAGCGGTTGAAAAGGGAGAAAATAGGGGAGATATGGGATGAGGAGATTTTCTTTATGGATTTATGAAAATTATGGGCGCAACGCTACCACATTTGTTGGTTTGTGTGCTGGGGAAAACCTTACTATTCGATGTTTATAGGTTTCAATTTATATTGAATCATTTTTTTTTTCATTTCTAAATCAATGCGTAAGATGATTGAGATATGTGACGGAAAACCTATGAATAGCGCAATTCACCTTGAAAGATGTTCTTTCGCCAAGAGCATCATTTATCCTACAGTATAGTCACTAAGTATTATATTTTCCAACTTCAACACATGGTATTCACTACCTTTGTTTCAATCTCGCATATAGTCACAAAGTATCACACTCGCATGGCTGATCGGAATAGGCAGTTGCAATCAACATGAATATGTGTTTGGGACCCTGCATATAGGACTAGACTAGTTGCAGCCAATAAGGAAAAGCTGCCCAAACACGTGTGTGTTAGTTGCTATAGGGAATGACTATCTGCCATAATATTTGAGTTGCGTTTTTTCCGTCATGGGATATAGATGTTAAGCACATCGAGCTGCAGTATTCGCAGTATAGATGATTTTCAAATATACCATAACCTGACGCTATAAATCTTGTCTAATTAGTATATTTAAGCAATAAACACATACAAGGGCTGATGGTCTATAGCAGGTATTGTCCAAACGCACGCATCCAGACTAACGCGAAAACAGTTCTCAGGGTATGACATAAGATGATAACAACCGATTCATCAATTCATATAAATACATCCCTCCCCGGCTTCAGGTACAAAGGGAATCCTTGTAATTAGATGTGAGTGTCGTGTCATAGTTTATTATCAGGGAATAAATGTAGTTAGTCAGACTTGAGCGGGTATTTATATTGTACTTTTTGGTCTATCGACATAAGTATGTAAAACACACACACTCTCTCTCTCCCTCCTTCCATTACTCACATTATGGCCTTCTGCTTCTTTGTTGTGCTAGTCCGGTTGCAAGATTGGGACATAGCCGGGGAGCAAACAAAAGCAATTGCTTCTTCACTAGTGCGACACCAATGATTCAAGAAGAGTATTGTAATTGGGTGCAAACGAGTAATGGCTACTATATACGATCGATGATTATATCAGTGGAGATGGTCCCGGAGTAAAAAGACCGAGTGAGGCGAATCAGGAACAGCCGGCCCTGTCGTATCAAATTTGTAAAGCTATTAGTTCCCAAGACATACAGGTTAGTAAAGGTACCGGGAGAGGAGTGGCAGTCTTCAGAAATCCACATTGAATCAGAACCGAAAAATACGAAGAAGACACCGTATACAGGTAAGGGAGAGGCCGCGTGGAGGATGAGCGTACTGCGTATGTAAGTATGTACGACGGACGGACGGGCACCAAGAATAAACCGGCGACGGAACGGTAGGGCCGATCCTCGGCACGGGATTCCATGCTCTCCACACAGGGCGGGCATGGCACGGAATGTAAGTACCCACGGTCCACCCAGTCAAGCAGACGTCTCTTCTTGAGGAGCCGTTTTGACCCCTTGCGTCTGTCCCGGGATGCTTTTGTCTCATGGAAGATGAGTCGGGCTCCCCCCCCCCCGGCTGTAGCGTCTAGCAAGGAAAGGGTGATGCAGCAGTTGTCCAGCGCAAAGCTTGGCGTGCATAGGACCATGAGCGGTTTGGCGCAGGCGTGCAGGACAGAAATGCAGTGTGCAGTGGAACACTGGGAGCTGGACCAGTCGTTCCTCGTGCATGCTTCGTCCCGCGGCATCCATGTCTCGAGGACTTGCTGCGGGCCCCGGAAAGACGGACGGGGACCTATGGGGAGGCTTTGTGCCCATGCGTGGTGAGAGAGACAACTCAGCTGCCGCTTTTTTTTCTTTCTTTCTTTGCTGGGAGATGAGAGAGATTGATTGCGGCAGGTTTATCGTGCCCTCTCTCTCTGATCCTTTTCTTCTCCTTGTTTGACAGCAACGAAGACGGGCGGTGATGGGCTTGCTCTGCCCTTGTTTTGTCGGTGGAGGCGACAGGCTGCCATCGCGAGCCGATGGAGGGACCTAGTGTCGTGTGCTAAGTTTTCCGGCGAGGCGAATGAGTGGGCCAGGCGTGGTCGAAGAACAAAAAACTGGAGATGGGTCGGTGTGTGTGGGTGAGGCGCATGGCCGCTTCAGGGTCTGGTCCCTGCTGCTCGATGGGTGGCATTCTGTTACGATGCAGAATGAAATGGCGACAACCAAACGTGCATGCGTTGGCGGTGAATGGGTGTGGGCGTGTGAGAGGAACGTGGTTGCATGCGGCTTATATGCCACCCAGCGCCCCTTTGCCTGTCGCCGACTTGACTGTGTCTTTGGTCTTCTGGACGTCGTGATCCTCGTGCTCGCCCTCCCTCTCCCCTCTCCCCTCTCCCCTCGCTCCCCCGTCTCGGTCTCGGACTCGTGGCTCGCTCTTCGCCCCTCCTGTCCCTTCCCCCTTACCGGTTGTGTGGTCGTCGTGTTCCGGCCCACGGCAGCACGTCGCCATTGCATCGCCGTGCCGCATTCTCGTCACAAACGCCGCACTTGGCCCTTACTATCCCGACCAAATTTCCCATCAGAAAAAGCCGGGGTGGTCGTCGTCTCCTTCTTGTGGCCCGCAGCGATCTGCAGCATAGCGTGTGGAGCAGCCATAAGACGCCGCAGCCCTTTGCTCGCTCTCTCTCTCGCCTTACTATAGAACGATCTGCACACACTGAAAGCCTCGCGTCCATTGAAATCCCGCCCAGATCCCCGTCTTCCAGATCCAGCACTCGCAAGCGCAAGGGCTGTCGGCCAAAAGTCAGCTGGGCAGCTGTCAGGTACCCGGGGCACACGCTTATCCACGAAGCGTCTGACACTAGTGGGAGAGCTAGACAGGCGCAGAAACGTGGGCAGGTAGAGAGGCAAAACAGCGGTCACGCCCGAGGTCAGCATACACACACTGCGCCCTCACTCACACACCAACAAGACCAGTCAGGCCAGCAGAGAAGCGGCGGCTGAACAGGTCACGCCTCAAGCAGCAGCAACAGCGACCAAGACGACGTCCATCTATCCACCCTCATCTCGCTCTTTCTCACCATCCCCCTCAACACACCCACTCACCCACCCACTCACCCACGGACTTCCCCCGGCGCGCACCCTGCCACCGTCCGCAACAACACTCACCCACGCCTTCACCTCGCCTCCCTTCCTCACTCTCACACTCACACGGCGAGAATACAATACACCCAGCCGCATAACCAACACACACCCCCACACCCATACACCACCCACACATCCACACCGCGAACATGCATCGCAAAAACCCCATCAGCGTGCTTGTCTACAACACGCTCTTCCCCACGCCCTCGCCCACAGACCCGCCCTCCTTCTCCGCCCACCTCTCCAAGAACCTCGTCGGTGAGGTCCGCATCGAAACTGCAAACTTCTACGGCTCGCTCGACACAATCGAGGCGCGCTACCCAGGTCTCAACTACGCCTTCCAACCGCACCGGAAACGCCTCGGCCGCTTCCCGCACCACAGGCGCCTGTTCGACGCCTTTGACAAACTCGGCTTGACAGAGGCAGAGATCCAGGGCTTCTGCCGGTGGGAAGGCACACTCTGGGCGCGCGAACGATATGAGCGCGACGAAGGCGTGCGAGTAGTCGATACAACGGGTGTGGAGATCGGCGCCTGGGTAGACCGGCGATCACATTATGCGCGGACAGGACCCGGCATTAACATAAAGACGGACATTGAGGTTGAAATCGAGCAACTCCAGCACCAGCGCAGCGATCACAATGCCCGAGCATCATCCTCAAATATCACCACCACTTCGTCGGCCCGGCCCCCCAGACAGCACGACACTGAAATGCCAGATTCACCCACGACAACCACGTCGTCCAACGGTGGCAACTCGGAAGACGAAAACGAGCACGATTCCTCTGCGTCGTCGTCGGAAGAAGACGAAGAACTCCCCCATCTCAACTCATCCATCGGCTTCTCGCTCAACGCTCGCCTCCTCCACGCCGCCGCCCTGCGCGAATCCAGCACAGCAGCCGGCTCCTCGCCTGCCGCAGCCCTCAGCAACATTCCCATGGACCCGGAGTGGGAGCAGTATCTCAAAGAGGCCTCTGAGCGCGGCGAGCTCAACATTGACGCTACCCGCGAGGCGCTACGGACCATGGCGGGCCAGATTGCCCAGCTCCACCAGAGCAGCGTCGAGGCCGAGGGCAGCGAAGCTATTACCCAGACGTTTCAGCCGCCTGCTGCGCCGCTGGCTTAGCATCGCCACGGTGGCTTCGACGGCGCGCTCGTCGATGCGCTGCTTCTTATGTTTTGTATGAATTGAGAGACAACTACCCCGAGAAAGAGAAGGGAAGAAAACTGTGTGGAGAAAGTAAGGGAAAGAGACGGTTTTGTTGTGACACACTACCAATCTCCTCCTCCTTGTTCCCCAACCAAACCCAACTGTTTTCAAAGCTGGACTAAGATGAGGGACCGGTTATTCTTGTCAGAGTCTGAACGATGTCGATGATTGCTTGTTTTTTTATTGTTATTCCCACCCCTTTTTTTGGTTTCACAAACTTACCTTTTTTCCTGGGGTTTTTTGTCACTCGCAACACGGAATCTCATGTGTTCACCACCTTTTGTGCCAGTAGAGTGCCCGCTTCCCCTCCTCTCCCCCTTTCCCCTCTCCTCCACAACTGGTTTCCTCCCCTTATTTCCCCCATGGTTTTCTTCTTCTTTTTAGTTGTTTTCTGCAACTTGCACACTGCATGGCGTTTTTCTTTCTCTCCTGTTTTGCTGTCCTTTGGTCTCTTTTTTTTCAACTTTTTGTTCACATCATCTTCCCTTGGGAGAAAGGGCAGGGCAGGGGCGTCTTTTGTAAAGCTGTGTTTTCTGTTACTTGTTTTTGGGTCTTTTTCTTCTTCTTCTCTTCTTCTCTCGGCAAAGGGAAGGCGATGCGGGAGGAGAGTAAGGGAAAGAATTGAGATGCATATGTGCATTTCGTGAGATATCCCACAACTTTTCACTGGAGCAGCTTTTTTTTCTTACTGTTCCTGTTCTTTGTTGTCCCCTTGCCGCAGGGGGGGTAATCATTTGGGAGTTTAACTCGTGTGTGTTTTTTTTGTCTAGTCTGTTTGTTTGTTTGCTTGCTCGTGCTTCAATATAGACTTTTGCTCGAATGCTCTGGATGAGCAACGGGCGGGGAAGGGGAAGGAAGGGGGGCAAATATAAGATGCTTGGGCACAGGCATGGCCACACAGTCATAATCAATTGGATTTCAATCCTTTCCAACCACAGTTGAAGCATGCTATCGTTATTTTCGTTATACTCTGTCGTCCTTCGTACTCTCTGAACATGATTTGAACATCTGTCGAGAGGCCAGTTCGACAGCATCTATTAAACTCATGTCTTGACCTATCCCTCTCATTCGCATGCAAACCATCGTGATTGCACATCTTGTACTTACGTTTCCTATGATGCAACACTCATTCAAGCTGCTGGGCAGCCAGGGACCGCCTGTTATTCATCTTGTCTTGTCATGTGTGCCTTGACGCACTAGCAACCGTTCTCTATCGTCGTCCCAAGTGTAGGCCAAATCCAGCAGACCCCCGCTTGTTGCCCCTAGTCACTCTGCCGCTACCCCCTTCGTCGTCAATCTCCATGGCATCGTCGCCCATGAGATTCCGCTTGCCATTGTTCTTCTCGTCGCTGGCCTGCATGGCTGCTTCAAACGCACGCTCCTTCTTTCTGCGTAGCTTTTCCCGATCCAATGCCTCCTGCCTAACTTTCGCAGCTTGAGCCTCGAGATCGGCAAGTGCAGAGTCGCATCGCTGTGACCATGACTGGAGTGTGTTCTGGAGGGCGGGCAGGGACCCAGGCGCGAGATCTCGCAGCGGCGAAATGGATGTGACGGAGACGAGGGAATGGGCAGGGTCGAGGGTTGCTGTGATGAGGCCAGAGTAGATGGCGGTAGTAATCAGCTCTTCAAGAGCGCGGGGTGTAGGCAGCTCGAGGGACGTCATAAGGTGTTTGTAGGTAAGGGTGGTGTGGGAGTGAGAGAGGGGCAACAGGGAAAGAAGCAAGAGCTTCTGGTGTTGCTGTGCTGAGAGCTTTGGGAGATTGGGTTGTGCTAAAGATTGTCAGTCCAAGAAGGTCCTGTGTGTATGTACAGCAGTGAGTGTTGACGCACCCTTGTAGTCGGCCCAAGTTCCCCAGGCAAAGACCTCGAGCAGGGTGAGATACGGGCCATACTCTTCCGAAGTCCGGAGGTTCTGGATGTTTGGCGTCTGCAGCAGCTCGGCGAATACATAAGTGTTGGGTGCGCTCGTGGCTTGCACAATCAAGTCCGATGCAGCTCGTGGGGAAGTGGCCGACTTGCTGAGGGCGAGAAAAGGCTCGAGAGCATTGAGGGCCTTTGTTTGCTCCATGGCGAGGGAGATGTGGTTGGAGTTATTATGATTATCTGTAAATATGGAAAGCAAGTCGATGTCTTATCTCAGTGGTGGAGAAGGCGAGCAAATAGCGATGTGGTGAGGGTACGTACAAACATACCGTACCGCCCAGGCAGCTGCAGTCGCAGTCGCGGTCGCGATTTCCCCGCCAAACGGGCGTCTGCCCCACTTCCACCTCGACAGCAACCTGTCTCTCCATCTCCCTCTCTCTGTCTCCCTCTGAAGACAGGGAAGGCTTTCCCACCCGTTCTGCCGCACACGACAAGACTACAATATTGAGCCGGGTCCATTTCCGTCAACAGAACACGTTCTCGGTAAGCGGCGTATTCTTTTTGCTACAAAAGAACCCACACGGCGATCCGCCACACGGGCGTCCAATCTCCTCAGCCTGGGCACGCCCAGCATGGCTCTCCGCCCCATCAAAACGAACGAGATGTACTTCACAACAACGTTGTGAAAAAAAGTATGCTCTATTGTCATTACAGATATACTCGTGTATACAGATCCACAGATTTTGTATACATAATAAGTTTATTTGAGTGCGTAGTGTTTGGGCTGGAAGAACTTGAGACGCGGCAGTGTTTAATGGGGCACTTTTCATTACACTACTTATTTCAGCCCACCAAGAGATCCTTCGCCCACGAGAGTAAGCTGTAGTGGCTGGAGTCAGGCTTGCAGACCGCTGCGGATTGAAGCTGAGTAGCGTGTCAGACGCGATACGAACACTGCCTTCTTCCAACAAAGTACACACAATAGCAACGCGCCAAACCATGACTGTATCCCTTGGAGCGCCTCGAATGTCAGTAATAGTAGCCGAAGGTGAAGCTTCCCCTGTAACACCTGAGCTTCATATTACCCGCATGTTTTAGAAACCTGCCTGTTTCAGCGCGCTACCGCCAAGCAGAAACAGTTATCGCATGCGAAGATCCACGGGTCAAGACACGCCTGCGCACAACGCGGAACCTTAATTGCAGCTCGCGTTGAATATCAAGCCCGTATTTCTTCTTGCTCACGGACAATGCTTATACTGGCTTTCCGAAAGCATCCATTTCGCGAATAGTGGCTTCACCTGCCCCAACGACAGCGGTCCGTCGTCCGCCATACTTACCGCTCTAACCCGCTTAAGACTACCCGCCGCGCCGGACTCCGTTCAGCATTGGTAAGATTGTGGCTGTCGCTGCCCGCCTATCAAGCGCCATATTAATTAATAACTGCACTGCCTGACACTTTCCAGAAGCTGGGCTTCTTTTTATTCAGATTCACATCGCTGTCCCTCCCGGATCCTGCTCGCTTGGTCAGCCCTCGCTACGCTGTCGCAATCATTAGGCTCGCGTTCGCCCTGACTTTGCCACATCGTACGACCCGCTCCCCCCTGTTCGGCTTCTTGAATGCCACCTACTTAAATCCCGGCCCTTGCCGTTTCGACTTTGCATACAACGACGATACGACTTGCCCTGGGCAGCACTCCGGAGTGCCCTCCCAGTCACCATGGCGCCCCCAGCCACTGCGACTGCGCACATGGCAACAACAACGCTCAAAGTCGAGGGAATGACATGCGGCGCATGCACCTCGGCGATCGAATCAGGCTTCCAGGGCGTAAAAGGAATTGGAAATGTATCCGTAAGCTTGGTTATGGAGCGGGCGGTGGTACAGCACGACCCCGAGGTTATTGCGGCGGACGAGGTCAAGGAAATCATCGAAGACAGAGGCTTCGACGCCGAAGTACTGTCTTCAGATTTGCCCATGTCGCATAGTGCTGACGACCATTTCCTGAGTGACTCGGAGGATGAAGAGGACCACACAGACAATAGCATCTCAACCACCACGCTTGCAGTGGGCGGCATGACATGCGGAGCGTGCACATCCGCCGTCGAAGGCGCATTCAAAGACGTGGCCGGCATTAAGTCCTTCAGTATATCACTGCTCTCCGAGCGCGCCGTGATTGAACATGACACTACAATGATTTCCGCAGAGAAGTTGGCCGAGACAATAGAAGATGTTGGCTTTGACGCGGAGGTGCTGAGCACCGAAGCCGCAACGCCAGCACCCAAGAAGAGCAAGAGCAGGAATCAGCACAAGACCTTGACCACCACCGTCGCCGTTGAAGGCATGACATGCGGTGCATGCACATCGGCTATAGAGGCCGGGTTCAAGGATGTTGAAGGGGTTTACCAGTTCAACATCAGCTTACTCGCTAATCGTGCTGTGCTCGTGCACGACCCTGCCAAGCTTACAGAGGCTCAGATTGTAGAGATTATTGAGGACCGGGGTTTCGATGCTGAAGTCATATCATCAGTCGACAGTAGCGTACAGCAGTCGTCGTCGAGTAATGCTCCTTTGCAGCTCAAGATCTATGGATTACCTGACGCTGCCGCTGCCCAGGAACTCGAAGGGATACTAAGGAAGCGATCCGGCATCACATCTGCAACAGTCAACTTCAGTACTTCAAGAGCCACTATTCGTCGGGAACCTCAGATCGTCGGCATTCGTACCATTGTCGAGGCTGTGGAGGCTGCAGGCTACAATGCGCTAGTCGCTGACTCTGAAGATAACAACGCACAGCTCGAGTCACTTGCAAAGACAAAAGAGATCCAGGAGTGGAGACATGCGGTTATCTTCTCTGCTTGGTTCGCTGTGCCCGTTTTTCTGATTAGCATGTTCATCCCCATGTTCTTGCCATTTATGAACTTTGGTGGCATTCGGCTCATTCCTGGTCTGTACCTTGGCGACGTCATATGCCTTGTTCTCACCATACCGGTGCAGTTTGGCATTGGAAAACGCTTTTACGTCTCTGCGTACAAGTCGTTGAGCCATGGTTCACCTACCATGGATGTTCTGGTCGTACTCGGTACTTCGGCTGCCTTTTTCTTCAGTGTATTTTCCATGCTGGTATCGCTCCTGATCCCCCCTCACACGAAGCCAACGACACTTTTCGACACCAGCACTATGTTGTTCACCTTCATCAGCTTGGGTCGTTATCTCGAGAACAGCGCCAAGGGCCAAACTTCCAAAGCTCTGTCTAATCTCATGTCGCTGGCTCCTTCGATGACCACTATTTATGCCGATCCTATTGCTGCTGCAAAAGCTGCCGAGGACTGGGAAGCCGGCGAAGAAAAGTTGGAACGCAAGTCTGTCGACGGAAATGCTGCCGAAGAGAGGGTCATTCCTACCGAGCTTATCGAAGTTGGCGATGTGGTCATCCTTCGTCCTGGTGACAAGCTTCCAGCCGATGGAACAGTAACGCGCGGAGAGTCCTATCTTAACGAAAGTATGGTCACTGGAGAAGCCATGCCGATCCTCAAGAAGAAAGGCTCCCTGGTCATGGCTGGTACCGTCAATGGCAACGGCCGTCTGGAGTTTGTCGTCACTCGAGCCGGCCGTGATACGCAGCTCAGCCAGATTGTCCGTCTCGTCCAGGAAGCCCAAACAAGCCGTGCTCCCATCCAGAGGCTCGCAGATACTGTTGCCGGATATTTCGTACCAATCATCATCACTCTCGGCCTCGCCACGTTTGTTGGATGGATGGTTCTTAGCCATGTCCTCCCTTACCCTCCAAAGGTCTTCCTCGATCACTCCAGTGGCGGCAAATTCATGGTTTGCTTCAAGCTTTGCATTGCTGTCATTGTCTTCGCGTGCCCATGCGCCCTTGGTCTTGCCACGCCAACAGCTGTTATGGTCGGCACTGGTGTTGGCGCTGAACAGGGCATTCTTGTTAAAGGTGGTGCTGCTCTGGAAACCGCAACTAAAATCAACCACGTTGTGTTTGACAAGACTGGCACGCTTACCGTTGGTCAGATGAGCGTATCCAAGGCCGACATCCAAGGTGGATGGGCAAGTGCTGAAAAGAAGAATCTATGGTGGACACTGATTGGACTGGCCGAAATGGGCTCTGAACATCCGATTGCCAAGGCTATTGTTCTTTCTGCAAAGGAGCATCTCCGCCTAGGGCCAGATGACAGCTTGGATGGTTCCGTGGGTGACTTTGAAGCCGTCGTTGGCAAAGGTATCACTGCAACAGTCGAAGCAGCTCTCTCCCGCGAGCGCACGCGATACAAGATCCTCATTGGCAACACTGCTTTTCTTACCTCTGAAGGAGTCAATGTTCCCGACTTTGTGGACGAGCCACTGACGCCTGCTGCTGCTGCCAATCCCCGAAGCGGCCCTCAAACTCACTCGGCTGGTATCACAACGATTCACACCGCTATCGGCAACACATACACTGGTACCTTGAGCATGTCCGACACGATCAAGCCCTCTGCTCGCGCCTGTGTACTCGCCCTGTCCCGTTTGGGTATCAAGTCTTCGATTGTGACTGGTGACACTTCAGCCTCGGCTCTAGTAGTCGCAGCAGCAGTTGGTATCGATCCTGCTGACGTCCATGCATCATGCGCGCCTGCCGACAAGAAAGCGATTGTAGAAGATCTCCAATCCCGTGGAGGTGTGATTGGTATGGTCGGCGACGGCATCAACGATTCTCCGGCTCTCGCATCTGCAGACATTGGTATTGCCCTCTCGACTGGTACGGACGTTGCCATGGAGGCGGCCTCGATTGTTCTCATGACTAACACAGACCTACTGGCTATTCCTGCTTCTCTCGTCCTCAGCCGCGCCATCTTTTTCCGTATCAAACTCAACCTTGCGTGGGCCTGCATGTACAATTTCACCGGACTTCCCTTTGCCATGGGCTTTTTCCTCCCCTGGGGTCTGTCAATACATCCTATGGCTGCAGGCGCAGCAATGGCATGCTCGTCGGTTAGCGTCGTTGTTAGTTCTCTGCACCTCAAGTTCTGGCGCAGACCTAGCTGGATGAAGTTGAGCGTTCTTGACCCTAGTGCCCCGATTGACGAGAAGAACTTGGAGCTGGAGAAGGTTGGCCAGCAGGGAGTATTCAGTTTCGTAAAAGACTGGATCAGCGAGGCATGGGCGGCTAGGAGACGAAACAAAGAGGAGGCCAGCTACATGCCCTTGAGAGACATGGGCGAGCACTGAGATGGACACATCTGAGTGCTGTGGGAAGATTGGAGTTGATTGGATTGTTGCTTGCTTCTGGTAAAGCGTTTAGGATACCATTGTGTACTATGCATATTGTTTCATTTTTTTTGTTACTGATAATTTCTGGGGTAATTGTTCATAGCCGTCGACTCCAACTGTTCCTAGTAGTCCTATGTGAACATACCGTTTGGAACCAAGTCTCCGTAAAAAGCAATCTTCTATGAACGTGAGACCGCCATAGTTTCCAATCAAGGCCTAGAGATGTAGGCGGTGCACCGCAAAGCAGGAATCATGCATCGACCTGCACTCTGGACAACCCGTGCTCTGCTAGAAAGTGCCCAGTGGGGTCATTGACGTGCGCGCGTGATTGCATCGCGAATCGCGGCCAGGGTCCACCAATTGGCGTCACAAAGATAAGCCCAGACGGACAACACAACACGGTAGCATTGCGCTATCTCTCACCGGCGCAATTTCTGATTCTTCTCACGACCTCAGGGTCCTGCGACACGTATGCGACCGTGATCTGTGCCGACTTGCCGTCTACGACTTTGCGACCACAGCTAGCCAGCCCGTCAAGATGGGGAGGAATCGCGCTGTGTCCAACGCCTCGACGCGGAGCAGCGAGCCGCCTTTACAAGTAGGTATGGACATGGCCAGAGCCGTGCAGAGCCTTTCTAAACTGTGACAGGAGCTGGGAAGCATGTATGACTACCTGGCAAAGGTGATATTGCTGGGTCCTAGCGGTGCTGGCAAGTAAGTCCGCGATAAGGCAAGTATTCACTGCAAACACCGAGTAACTGAGCAACATAGATCCTGTCTTTTGCATCGTTTTGTTAAATCCGAATGTACTTCTGTCGCGCCTCCTCCCGTTGCACACCAGTCTAACCACTACTCCAGGGCGCTCTCTATCCAGCCAAACAATCGGTGTAGAATTCGCATCCAAAATCGTCCACATTGCCGACCGCCGCCGCTCCCCCTCTTCCTCTGCGTCGCGAAAACGAATGAAACTACAACTCTGGGACACTGCCGGCACAGAACGCTTCCGCTCCGTGTCGCGATCCTACTACCGTGGGGCGGCGGGTGCAATACTTGTCTATGACGTGAGCAGCTGGCGGAGCTTTGAGCAATTGCAGACATTCCTCAACGACGCAAGGGCGCTAGCCGGGCCCGACCTTACCATTATACTCGTAGGAAACAAGAATGACGTCGAGACTGGGGAGGGAATTCCAGTAGGGTTAAGCAGTAGCCAAGGCGCCAATGGAGGAGGATATTCCAGTTATGGGAGCACACCAAGTTCAGAGAGCGGACTACCGCCACCTACACCATCGTCGCAATCCAGCAGAGGAACGAGCCTCAATGCGAATCTCCATGCTTCGTACACTATAGCCCCCGAAGGCCGCGAGGTGCCCACCGAGACGGCGTCGCGATGGGCGGGGCAGAACGGGATACCAGTTGCGGTCGAGGTCTCCGCACTAAATGGAGAGAACGTGGAGGAGCTATTCAATAGATTGGCGAGGATGATCTTGACCAAGATTGAGCTGGGCGAAATTGATCCTGATGACCCTGCGAGTGGCATACAGTATGGTGATTTGGGCTGGGACGACGGTGGAGGCAGTATCAAGAGCGGGTTTGGAGACGAGGGTGTCAGATACCGTAGAAGAGGCAGGAAATCTGGTGCACTGAGCGAATGGGAAGACGTATTCAGACTCGGCGGGAATAGACGGAAAAGAGGCTGTTGTTGAAAGTGTGGTCTGCGTATACGATGGACTGAAACAGTTACACAAGCGGAATTTCTGGTTGAAGCTTTCGTTTTTTTTTTGGCAGCGCGTTCAATTGCAGTCACGTAGTAGTTTTCCCTCTGATTAGACAGCATACCCCCTTTGAGTTTTCTTTTGTCCTTTACGAAAATACACGATATACTAGACCCCAGATTCTGGACAGTCTCACGCCACATGGGTCATCCTTGCATGCTTTTGTCCCCAGTTATTTACCTTTGGGTTGAATTAAATGGCCAGACATCGCTGACCACCACCGGGAGTTGCGACTTTGAACGCGGAAGTTCAACAACTTAGTGAGAATTGTTAATTTGTAAAGTAAACTGGATAGATTCAAAAGGCCTTACCTTGAATATACCTGTAGAAATTTCAAGTATAACCCATGTGCAAAGACACAGTTGTTTGTAGAGTCTGCTCGATACCGAAGCACATGGAAACCAGCGATTTTGTTAAGTATCCAACGGTGCGCGGCTGTTTCGGGTATGCTACTGGATAAGCGCTTACCTATCTGCCAATCACCGTTTGCGATTTGGCGCTTTAGCCGTGTTGATATTGGCGTCTGTGTGTCGTCATGCATTGTTCCTACATCAACACCCCACTACGCCGCGCCAGCACATACGCATACGGACAATATACCGGAGGCTTGTTGTCCATACACTCTTGGAAGTTTCTGATCTTGAAAGGCGGAAGTCATTAAACAAGGTGAAAAAAAACCCTCCTCGCCTCCCGTGGCAACCAGAAGGCGACGAAGAAACGCTGTATGTATCCGCTAAAACGCGTCCAAAACCTCGGTCTCGCCCTGGGCTCGCCACATCACGCAGATCGCGTCACTTGCCCTAACTTCGGCCGTCAGACATGTTCCTGGAAGTGGCGCGGGACGTTAGCATGGTATTTTGCATAACTGAGTCGCCTTCCAACATGAACGCATGCACTATTATCGCAGCTTTTCCTTGTTCGCGTCGCCTTCTTCCCACACATGCACATATCCTTTCCTCAGGATCCTCTTTGCACTTTCCTTTCTCGTCTCGAATTTCCCGCTTAATCCAAGAATAAAAAGTCGTCGCGTGCTGGATTTTTTTAAATTCAAACTGTTGACCTCAAGAGTGTTTAGACCACTTGCCACCATCAGAATGCCTTTGCTTAATCGCCTGAATCCTACGCCAGCATTCCCCGCACATAGCGGCCCATACAAGGTCGGATCAGCAGATGTAGAAATACCTTCGAGCGAATTAGCGAGTCAGAGTGAAAATGCCCCTCCCACGGAATTACCAACAGTGGCTTTTCGTGTCTTCTACCCGTGCAAGCAAGATAGTAACGAAAGAGCTGTAAGATGGTTACCAAATCCGCAGCGGGAATATCTCAGCGCCTATGCGAAATTTTTGGGAGCCAATAGTGTATTCGCTAAAGTATTCTCGTAAGTTTCTTTTGGAGAAAAGCCCTTAAGAGCAAATGATCAGCACTAACACATGCATAGGCTATTACCTCAATTATTATACTATGTTTCAATGCCTGTACACCAAAACGCGGAGCTTTTGGCCCCACCACCAAAATCTAGTCGATGGCCCGTCATGGTCTTCTCACACGGTCTGGGTGGCACCAGGAACGCGTATTCGCAAATTTGTGGCTCACTGGCAAGCCACGGAGTTGTAGTTGTCGCAGCAGATCACCGTGATGGTAGCTCACCTCTAGCTATCCACCATACGCCAGATGAAAAAGAAAAGTTGAAGCGAGTAGAGTTCAATTCAATTTCCTACTATCCCAGTACGGAAGCGTACCAAGGAAGAGACGAGCAATTGAAGATTCGGCTATGGGAGCTGGGAATGATACACGATGCGCTATTAAAGATTGACGAGAGCCGACAGCTGAAGAACGTTGCGCAAGATCAACCGAAAGGAAAGAGTGTGTTGAGCATGTTCTCGAATTTGCTTGATATCCATGAACCAGGTGCTATCAGTTTCGCAGGGCACTCCTTTGGCGCTTGCACAATGATTCAGTTTGTCAAGTCGATCTACTACCGGCCTCAAGGACAAATCCCAGATTACAAACCATTATACATCCCTTCCGAAGACTCGAATATTGTTCGCCAGATCACGCCCTCTAATTCCGTTATTCTACTGGACCTGTACACGATGCCTATCCAGAGCCCAGACACTGCATGGCTCAGAAGCAAACCAATGCCATGCTACGACTCCCCCAACGGTGGCAAAAACCTCCTCGCCATCTCCTCCGAAGGTTTCTACAAATGGGCCTCCAACTTTCGAGAAACAAAACGCATCATCGCCAAGCCATCACCGTCAAATTCAAAGTACCCAGCTCAGCCCGGCCCACACATCTTGTACCCCATCGCCTCAGCCCATCTGTCCCAAAGCGACTTTGGCGTCTTATTTCCCTGGTTAACAACGAAATTCTTTGGCGTCAAGGAGCCAGAACGCGTACTCAAACTCAACACCCGCGCTATACTGCAGGTTCTACGTGAAAACGGTGTTCGCGTCGGTAATACTAGCGCGGCTGACCTTGAGCTTGAGGACCAAACAGTGAGTCAAGCCAACGACACGACGATCCTGAGTCGCACCAAGGATAGCGTCCGTGGATGGGTCAATTTGAGCGCCGAGGTGGAAGGCGGTCTTGATTTTACGGGGTTGAAGAAAGTCGAAGGGAAGAACGTGGTTAGTACGCCATCGGAGAGAGTGGGTGGTGAAGGAAAGGGACCGACAGATGCGGTGGTTGAGGGAGAGGGGCTGGGGCAGGTTGTTGAAGGGAGTGAGAAGTGATTTGTACGATTTGGGGGGGCGGGTGAAGGTGGTGAGAGATAGATTGACGAGTAATAGAGTTAGAAAGCAGGGCGTTTCTTTTATCTGGACGTTTTCATCTACCTTTAGTACATATTGCAATGGTTATTATTTGAGAAGTGCGTATTGTTTCATTAGTGATATTGAGGAAAGAGAGGCTCTTAGATATCTATTACTTTATATATTGACGAGTCGCTTCGTAAATCACTTGTGTTATGTAGTCCTAGATAGAAGCAAGGTTGCAAGACAGTTGTAGGGTAAAGCTACTCTGTACTTTGGTTCTTACTATGAACTATTGATATAGTGGCTGCCTGGTGCTAGCTGTACCGCAAAACCCGATGTATGTTAAGAGTGTCATGTAGTGCATCTCGTTACTTATTCTACTTCAAGACTGATTTGAGCGTTCTACATATCTGAGGCTTTTAACCACCTCTTTCGATTTAGTATAGTCTAAGCACATACTTACGTTCATGGTAGTCTTGTTTAGATATTAAGTGGCGCACTACTCAAGCAGTAGTGAAATCATATGTGACACTGCTTATTGCCTAGGACACACCCAGCTGCCACACTCACCGCCCATTCTTTGTGTAAGGTTTGGTTCGTTTGCTGTTCGTTTGCTTGCAGGCCGGACTCACTTGCGGCTAGCGTAAGACATAATAAGCACGATTCATCTCACTATATCACAAAGTCGGCCAACCCAATCAACTCAACCAACCTGACATGGCTAATCAGAGAGAGGAAATGTCAATGCGACCACCAGCGTGGATGCTGAAAGCGGCACGAAATGCTGTGGAAGTATCAGGTGTCAACTCAGAAGAAGCATTCGCTGCTAGGATCCTTGACGTAGGGAAGCAGGCAGAAGCGGGCAGCAAGCAGCACCAAGAAACCATAAGCTTGTTAGCAAACAAGATGAAGGAGTTAAATCCGAAGCCAGTATTGAAATCTTCGGATAGGTTTGAATACGAGAACGTCGGAGAAGAGTCCAGCGGTACTGAGCGACAGCCTGTGAAAACAAGCGCTGCTCCCACCGTGGCCACTTCTAGAAAGATCACACAAGCGCCAGACAAGAACAAGCGAAAGGAGGCAGTAAAAACCCTAGACAAAAAACAGAGTAAGAAAATAAGGTTTCTTACTGAGCAGGTGGAGAATGGCTCGTCACTGAAAGACACGGCACGCCAACCACAAAAGGGGGCATTGACTACAGCAGTAAACAATGCAAATCCCAAGGAGACCATTCCTGCACCGTCAAAATCCTTGCGAACTTCCCAATGCAAGTTGGATCAATATACCGTACACCAGGACCTACCAGAATGGTACACCTCCATCTCCACTGACAGCATACACATGAAGAACCTGTCCAAACGGCGGCCCCCTGCGCTCACAGCCCTAGACGCCCTCAAAGACCTCGCCCGCCAATGCGAAGACGCCCCCAAAAGGAACCGATCCAGCGATCTCCCAAATCTCTACAACAAACTCCGCGATCTCATCCACAAAGCCGAGATCACTCTCCCCGTAACCCCCTACATACTCCGCAAAACGCACATGCTTTCCCCTCAAAATGGCCTTCCCCGAATCTTCCGCGCAGAGACAAACTTCCCTCCAGACATCAAAGCAGACAGCTACCAACTCTACAAGCGCTGGTACGCCGGCAACCTAACCCAAGACCTCCTCCGCGGCATACTTACCAAAAAATCCACAAACCGCTCCTCCGACTCCATCTGCCCCGTCTACCGCTCCACATACCCCGTGACCGCCAAATACATCGGCCAAGGCCACCTCGTGCCCGGCCAATGGTGGCCAACTCAACTCTGCGCCGTGCGCGACGGCGCCCACGGCCACCCGCAAGGCGGCATCTTCGGCAGCAAGACCCACGGCACCTACTCCATCGTACTGTCCAGCGGAACCGGATACTCCGACCTCGACGACGGCAACCTGATTCACTATTCCGGCACCGAAAACAACGACAACGCCGGCTCCATCTCCGAGAATACCAAACACTTGCTTACATCGCTGCAGACGCGGGATCCGGTGCGCGTGCTGAGATCGAGTCAGTCGGCCAAGGGGAATAAGTATCGTCCGCAGAGGGGGATTAGGTATGATGGGTTGTATACGGTTGTGGCGTATGAGGTCTTGGATGAGAAGAAGGGCGTGCTGAGGTTTCGGCTCGAGAGGTGTGAG